CATGCAGCAAGAAACATCAACGTTTTCAACAATTAAACTGATATCACCTGTTTAATTGTCATCATTATCCTGCCGACATTTCACATACATTTAATATTTCAGATAACCACTAAAAAGTGTCTGCAGAGTTTACAAACATTCAGGTGTTCTCCACTATTGCACCAGACCGATAATTCATGACATGAATGGACTTGGTATATGATTGGATATTAATAGGTGTCATTAATAAATAGTGCAAGAGCATTCCATTCATTGTATTAATAATTAGTCAATATTTGAGTACCTAGCCATACCCGTTGATCTTTCCTATTGCCATTGATTGATTATAGAAGGACTGATCTGTATGTCACCCGCTGCTGAGGAGATATTAGTGAAAATAACTTTTGCAATGGAAGGTGGAACAAACAGATCAATCAGCGTTAATGCTCATGAATTGTTTTAAAACAGGCCTTTGTGACCCGTTTAACCCCTTCAGGGGCCTCTGATGAGCTGCTAGACAGAAGCCATGAAGTTCCCAACTGACAATAAAGGGTAGCACCGATTGATCTGTGATTATGGCAATTAATGAGTGCAAGTCTGTGGAAGATGCTTCCCTGGTGTACAGCAGGAGGTGTGACAGCACCCTGTACACTCATTGCTCCATCACTTCTGTTCACTGGAGGCTGCTTGTCACAATGTTGGCTTGTCTGTACATTAACCCTGTGCAGAACAATGATGGGACAAGACTGGCACTGCTGGGCTTATAGTTGGTCCAGAACTTCGGAAAGGAGGACCTTCATTCTAGATTAGGCTTAATAGCCGTGAGAGTAGAGATAGAGAGAGAGATAGATAGATAGATAGATAGATAGATAGATAGATAGATAGATAGATAGATAGATAGACTTATAGGTATATAGGTATATATAGATATATTATCTAGTCAGATAGAAAGAAAGAAAGAAAGAAAGAAAGAAAAGAAAGAAAGAAAGATAAATAGATAGATGAGAGATTGCACTTTATATAATGTATACTGTCATGTGCATATATTTACTAAAGATAACTAAATCTGTCTCTCCATATATGAAACACGAAGAATGTGTACTCTTTAAAATAAAATTCGAATTAAGATTGTGCATGAAACGAACTGCCTAGACAGGTAAAAATGTACTGGATACATTCTACGTTAGAATAGGAAGTCACCTATATAACCTGAATAACACCTGTGCAATGGACAGACTGGATATCAATTGGGTGTTTACATGGACAAGATGTATATCTGTAATGTATAAATAAATTCTATTTAGTTATGTATTATGTTACCTACAGTGTTGTGTACTTAATATAACGTATGATAGATAGATAGATAGATAGATAGATAGATAGATAGATAGATAGATAGATAGATAGAAAATGTTTACTATCATTGTATGGTGTGTTTTAAGGTGGCAATTTCCCCATCAGACAGTGCCAGTGCAGGGACTTTGGTGTCACTTCCCTAAGATTACAGGCAGATCTGACACTCTGACATATAACACATCGACCATTCTTTATGATGTTATGACCTCAGATGATCAGAGCTATCTAAGTATGGTCACTTGTCATTACAGCATTTCATTTTTAACTTCGGGCATACAATGGTTAATTGTACAGGGATCAGCCCCACCGTCTTGTGATCAACCACTCCACACACAACTTAATAATAGCAAAAAAATAATAATAAATGAATAAAATAAGATAAACCCGGGACCTAATTAGGACTCAGTTTGCATTCTAATCGATCTAGTTATGTGTCCGTCCCCCCTGATGGTTTGCAGAGGGGAAGCTGGATCTTGTACAAGCAGAGGACATGAAAAGATAATAGGGGAAGCTGGTTACTCCACCCTCTCATGTGCACCCCACTGATATAGTCTACTTTGCATCTGAGTTACAATGGAACTTCATAGTGTCTGGGTCAATATCCCAATATTAGCCCCTTATGGCTGGAAGATTCTAAAAACATCCAACAGTGGGATAATGACCAACACAGCCAGATGACAGCAGTGCAAATGACTTTTTAGTCTCGATGCCTTCTATACTTGGACAACGTTTAAAAATACAGCTTTAAGAACATATTAACTATTAGGAAAAGTATTATAAATAAGAGATGTCCCTGTGAATCGTAATCGAAGTATATATGTTATTGTGTAATACAGATGTCATAGAGCAGTATATATCTTATTTATGTATTATTACATAGTAACAGATAATAATGAAATCATGATCAATAGGAAATACACATATAGCAGGAAGCAATGCACAACAAATAAAAGTATTCGCAAATAGATCAATTACAAAGGATTCACATGAAAGGTATTTTTAATACTACTCATGAATAAATGGCAGGATATTTAAAGTGAAGATACTGAGACGAAGTTGGGGTTAAGGGGATTGAAAGATTTTCTGACAATTGATGTAAATGTATAATGGATGCAACTAAAATGTTATTCAAATATGTCATTGAAATTATTAATTTCCCGTCTCTTTTGTCATTTTAATGATCGGATTGGGTTCTATAAAATAAAAATATAAATGTATTCCCAAAGCTTATGGCTATTGAAATGACACATGCAATGCGGAAAATGACTCCTTTATATCCCACAGATGTTTAAATATAACCGCCCTTGTATAGAAAGCCATCTTTAATACAGGGTTGTGTTTTAAATCATGTCTTTATCACAGAGTAACAAATATCCAAAGTGGCTAATAGAAAATGATCCTATGACTTGCAAAACAATTGCATACAGAGCTGGCTTTGTCAGTTTATGTATGGGATGTCAGTTGATAATAGAACCCAGTGATATTTGGGAAGAGGCTCATTGCACACATCCCTGTGTTAGAGATAAGGGATAGCCCTGGTCTCTAATGTCACAGCCTCTAATTCATCTCACCTTCCTAGGAAGTGCCACATACACGGGATGCCCCGGAGTGACATGAACAGGACTCTGCAGCAGATCAGGAGCTGCGAATTGGATGCCTTCATTTCATCTAGCAGGGATTCCTGTCTGCAATTTTACCAGATTCCTGCTAACAAAAGGCATGAAATGTACTGAAGGATGCCAGATGGTTTATATCTGATAGCCACTTTCACCTGCAAGTCTGTGAAAATAATTTATCAAAACCTTATCCTTGTGGTCCCCAAACAATATAAACCCTGATAAGCCCCACTGCTGTCTCCGTGCTTTTTGGCACGGAGTCTGCATACGCCGTATGCGCACATCTCCAGCTCATTGAGACTGGTGCTATTCCCTCATGTCTGCGATGTTATCAGCTATAGAAAAGTGATATTAGCAAACCGAAAATGGGAAGAGTTCTTGGAGTGCCAGCACAGCTCAGGATTTCGGGAGGAATAGCAAACAGGTCAGGGACTGGTAGTCCTCAATTCACTTCGGAGACTGACACAAATACATCTTCATTATAGACACCTTGTAACAATACAGAAAACCTCCATACAACGCAACGAGGGCATGGGATGTCAGAACTTCACTGGTTATATATGCATTTTATAGTATGTGATCACAAGTATATATTATATATGTTATGTATAATAAGTATAATACATTTAGGATTTCAGGATTCCTCTGGTCAATTATATCTTATAATCTATCTATCTATCTATCTATCTATCTATCTATCTATCTATCTATCTATCTAAAACGATTGTCCACTGGCTTGTGATTACACTCTCTCTTCTCTTTTCCCTTCCATCTTTCTTAATATAGATATATATATATATA